CTTATTACAGTTTAGTGATTTCCAATCCAAGTCCCAGGAGAAATTAAACACTTCTTAAAATCCATCAATGAAAGAATTCCTGTGTTCAAGGGGAAAACATAACCAATCTGAAAGATTAAAATGTCTACCTTTTAAATCTAAATTTCAACCAACGGAATGATCTATAGCCTGAATGAGACCACAACTTTCTGTCCACATCTGGTTCTGTGTTTATGAAGACAGAATCATTCTGAGTTAACCAAATCGTCCAAATTGTTGCAAATAAAATTACATCCCAACCCTTCTTGGCTTTTACAAGCTTGAATAAAAGCTCATGTTGAACAAAAGGCTCTCTGCAGTTCTTAGCCATCACAATCTCAAAACCCCACCAACCAAAGCTTCTTGTCCATATTTTTCTAGCAAACTTACCATGGATGAACAAATAGTCTTCATTCTTGTGAATCGCCGCAGAGCCCACACGAGCAAGAAATTGGAACTACAGCCGAGCCCCTTTTCAATAGATTTCTCCTAGTAAGAATTCTATTATGTTATGATTGCCAATCAAAGGCACAGACCTTTCTTGGGACAAAACCATTCCACAATCTTTTGTAAACCGTGGCTGTCCTTGATATGGTCATAAAAGGGCGTAAGCAGAGCCGATAGGCCGTTTCAGTACCATTTCCCTTGCTGCGCGCTCCGACTGCATCCAGCAACCTGTTGGTAGAAAGTCCAACCCCATGCATGTGAACACATGGACTTTCCATGTGGAATTTTGCTTCGCCGGCCTATAAGCCAATTGTGGGCTAGATTGCTTTGTTGAAATCTTTCAAGATTGCATGTTGACCCATTTAATGAGCAAGGAAAATCTTGGACGGGTGGTAATGAGGCAAAGAAAAATGGTGCATGGGTGGTTGGATTTTTCACTATAAATACCCACGCATGCAAATGCAATGGGCAAGCAAGAGTAGGAGAAAGCAAGAGAAATTGAGTGAGAGCTCTTGTGAGAGAAAAGAAAGAGAAATTGTGAGAAAATCCTTGTGTAGATTAAGAGAAAGTATTAGGGAGAATTTGGGAGTTTCTATACATTGAAGCTAGGGTGTTGAGAGCTTCTTGAGTGAGAGAGTTTCTAAATTATTTTACTCATTTTCTTTATAGTGGATTTATTTCTCTTTTTCCTGTGGACGTTGACTTGTTAAGAGGTGTACAAGTCGAACTATGTTAAATTATTGTCTCAATATCTTTATCGCTTCCGTTTGCGTGGGATTGTGGTGCTTTGAAATTCCAACAAGTGGTATCAGAGCTATTAGTAGAGCTCCTAGTGTTGTGGCGAAATGCAAACTGAAGCCATGAAGGATTCAATTGAGTTGTTCAATGGCAAGAATGACTTTGCTCTATGATAAAGTACTATGAAGGATGTCCTTGCTTGTCAAGGACTTGATGCAGCTTTAGAAGAGACCAAGCTAGCTAAGTTGAAGGATACTGATTACAGTACTATCCAAAAGAAGGCAGTAAGTCAAATTTGGTTGGCGCTTGCACCAGAGGTGAAATACAACATCCTTTCAAAGACTACTTTAGCAAGCATGTGGAAGAAGCTTGACGAGATATATGCTTCACAATTTTTAACCAATTGGCTGTATTTAAAGATGGAGCTATATCAATTGAAGATGGCTGAAGGCACCAATATTCACAAGCACTTATCTAATTTCAACATGATGGTGACACAAGTAGTGAATGCCGGAGATATTCTAGAAGAAGAGGAGAAAGCTTTGCTTTGACTTGCATCCTTGCTGAAGTCTTACAAGTCCTTGGTGCAGAGCATGCTAATGGGTAAGACTACTTTGGTGATGAAAGATATCACAACCATGTTGCTGGATAATACTAAGTTTCTTAGGGAGGATGATGCTGCCAATCAAAATAATGCTTTGGTGACGGAGCATTCTTGGGGAAGATCTTATAGACGTGGAGGTGGAGGAAATCAAGAAAGGTCAAAATCTAGACCTAAGAAGGATTATGGTGAAGTGCAATGCTTCTATTGTGGTGAGTTGGATCACAAATAGTACAAATACTCGAAGTTTAAGGAGGACTTTTCTAATATGAAAATATTGATGAAAAGTCAAGAAACTAAGGGCAATGGGGAGGCTAATACTATTGAAGAAAATTTGGTTGAAGTATTAGCTTGTGAAGAGTGTGATCCTGAGGTGGAGCAAAACAATCAGAGATGGATTTTGGACTCTACTGCAACCACACATGTGTACAATAATCCTTTGAAATTTGGGAGTTTGGTTTGAAGGGAGCTTGGCAAAATAACGATGGCTACCGACGAGAAGGTGAATATTGAAGGCATAGGAGATGTTTGTCTCAATGTTCACAATGGGAGAGCCAAGGTTCTCAAGAATGTGAGATATGTGCCCCAGTGTTCAAGCAATATTATTGCTTTGAGTGAGTTGACAACACGAGGGTGCAAGTATGTCAGAAAGCAAGAATGGTGCAAGGTCTCCAAAGGTGGAAGACTTGTCTTGTGTGGGAGGGAGAACAAGAACAACATCTATGTGCTTGAGCAACATCTCGAGAGAATGCTCAACAAAACCATGAGGAAGATGGTGTGGAAGCCTAAAGGGATCTTGGTAGATGGCAAGGAAATTAATAAGATCAAAAAGAAGGTGAACTTCAACAATAAAGTGGTGTTTGATGATGGTTCAAGGAGGTGTGATTTTCTGTCGGATCATATCTTGGTTCAAAATTAATTTCTGTAGTGTACCTAGTGTAGGTTTGTCCTATCCTATACTAGGAGGAAACTCTCAAAAATAGGACACCATGATAAAGTGTTTTTGAGCAGGGAGAGCTGAGTCATGGTTGGTTTCTCCTCCCATGGGATTGGAGGGGGAGATTGTTGGTAGAAAGTCCAAGCTCATGCATGTGAACACACGGACTTTCCATGTGGAAGTTTGCTTCACCAGCCTATAAGCCAATTGTGGGCTAGATTGCTTTGTTGAAATCTTTCAAGATTGCATGTTGACCCATTTAATGAGCAAAGAAAATCTTGGACGAGTGGTAATGAGGCAAAGAAAAATGGTGCAGGGGTGGTTGGATTTTTCACTATAAATACCCATGCATGCAAAGGCAATGGGCAAGCAAGAGTAGGAGAAAGCAAGAGAAATTGAGTAAGAGCTCTTGTGGGAGAAAGAAAGAAAGAAATTGTGAGAAAATCCTTGTGTAGATTAAGAGAGAGTATTAGGGAGAATTTGGGAGTTTATATACATTGAAGCCAAGGTGTTGAGATCTTCTTGAGTGAAAGAGCTTCCCAATTGTGGTATTCTTTTTCTTAATAGTGGATTTATTTCTTTTTTTCTTGTGGACGTAGACTTGTCGAGAGGTGTACAAGTCGAACCACGTTAAATTGTTGTCTCAATATCTTTATCACTTTTGTTTGAATGGGATTGTGGTGCTTGAAATTCCCAACACAACCTTACTAATTCAAGCACTAAATCCACTTCCCAAGCAAAGAGATTCCGCCTCCATTGGAAATTTCAACTCTAGACACCATTGACCCACTAACCCATTTGATTTATGCTGTCATCTTTTCTTTTTTTTTTTCAATATCCCTCCAAAAATTTTGCCATACCATTCCCTATATTTATATGATGATAGTGTGGAATAAATCTTTTCCTCAAATATTTTATTAGAAAATTTGACTAAACAGTTACATTTTAATTGATATTTTTAAAAATTAATTATTAGATTAAATATGTTATTTATATAAATTATGGATGATTATTCACTTACACTCCAACCATACCACACTCCGTTACACACATTTTTTTTTCGTTAGCTCCCACACTCCGTTAGTCTCCATCCTCACTAGATCCATCTTCCTCCTTACCTCCGGTCTCCATCCTCACTAGATCCATCTTCCTCCTCACCTCCATTCTCATCTTAATCATCTGCAGGAACCTAAGATCAAAACTGTCTTCTTCCTTCTTTTCCCTCCTCCTCCTTTCTTTTTCTTCTTCTTTCCCTTTCCTCCCCTCGTCTTCCTTCTCTTCCCCCCTCTTAGAGAACCCATGGGTTCTCATGAAGAACCGAGATCTGGGTTATCACGGTGAGAACCCAACCCATGAGAACCCATCTGATCTAGGTTCTCGTATGAAATTGGTGACAAATTCTGTTGTGTGTGGCGTTGTTTTTCCTGTGGATTGAATTTTCATGGTTTCAGGTTGAAAGAAAGCTAGGGAGACGATTTATTCAATCCATTCTCATCCTAATCATCTGTGGGAACCCAAGATCAAAACTGTCTTCTTCCTTCTTTTCCCTCCTCCTCCTTTCTTTTTCTTCTTCTTTCCCTCTCCTCCCTTATTCTTCCTTCTCTTCTCCCCTCTTGGAGAACTCGTGGGTTCTCGGAGAACCCAATTTGGGTTCTCCAAGAGAGCCTGGGAGAAAAAAAAAGAAAAAAGGAAGAAGGTGCGGGTTCTCTCGAGAACCCGACCTTAGTTCTCTCAAGAACCCAATCCTCGATCTGGGTTCTCTGGGAACCCAATGATGGAGGAGAGAGAGAGAGGAAAAAAAAAAAAAGAAGAAGAAAGAAAGAGGAAGAAGATAATGAATGAAGATGATGGTAACGGAGTTAAGTGTAATTAACAGAAAATAATAGAAAAAGTTGGGTGTAACAGAGTGTGTGAATAAATTGGGTAAATGTATCCTTACTCATAAATTATATATAATAATTTTTAAAATTATGATGTTTTAATTAAAAATTTTATTTACTAATATATTAAATAATATTGACTTTTTTTATAATTCACAAACTAATTAAGCAATTAGATTAATATAAAAAAATTAATATTTATGATTTACATAAATGAGAGATTAGATTTCAAAAATATTAATTAAAATACAATTTTTTTTAAATGCTTTCAAGAGTATGTCATATAAACCAACTTTCCCTGTGCGTATATTTTCTTTAAATGTTTTATATTTTTACACTTCCTTTATTGAGAAAAACTTGAACATAAACTAGTACTTAAATCCATTAATTTTGAACTCGGAAGGTTTCAACCTTTTACCACAAGACTAGAGTCTTCATTACCAGTTTTTTTTACACTTCCTCCAAAAATTGACGAAAGGGTTGCATGTCAGGGTAAAAATGGAGTAATACACTGCCAGTTCAATTTTAATTGTAACATTTACCATAAAAGGATGTCTTAAATTATTTGTTATAATGACTTAAATAAAAGAAAATTAGTTATAATTTTTAATAAAAATAAAAAATTTTAAATTTAATTTATATAACATGTTAGATGTGTAAGACAAATCAAGAAATGAGAAATAATATGTGGAACACAATATAAAAAATATTTAATTGATACACATTTTATTTTTATAAATATGTTAAATATTTTTATAAAAATTTTTATTACTCTTGCTACAAAAAAGAAAGGAAAAAAAAAAGAAGGAGAAATTTAGAGGATTAGCTGGGACCTCGCGATGTGATTTGTGTTATCCGCTCAGTGGGACCCACTATTAAGTCTTCGCTGTCCCATTTGTCGCTGCTGCTCTTATTCCCACCCGCACGCCACGCGCACTAAAAGGAATGGACGATAAACCTCATTCTCTCATCGTGGGCCTAGATTCCTGGATCTTGCCTCTGTAGAATAACTGCTGCACTGCATATAATTATGGAAAAAGGGTACTTCCGTTTATATGGAATTATATTATGTTAATTATTAGATATAGGATAAAATTTTAATATTAGAAATAATATTTATTTTATAATTTGATATAATTTAAATTTTAAATTATAAAATAAAATAAGATTCTTTATTATTATTACCTCGTTAATTGCCTTTTTTGTTGTTTAGATGTGTTTTTATATGGATTTTTTAATATTGCATTAATTTTACCTTTTTAACAAATTTTTATATGGAATGTAAAGGTAAATATTAATTTTAATAGTTGTGTTATGTAAATAATTTTAATTGAATAGTTAATAAATTTAAAATTAATATATATTTCTTGTACCTAAATTAAATATAAAAGATACCAATTTTTTAGGTTTTTAAATTAGATGTTAAATTTTTATGTTTTTTATTTTAAAATATAAATTTTATTATTTTTTATTTGAGGGTATTAACTTTATTTTATTTTGATTAAGATTGTTATTTATTATATTATCATTGTCATTCAATAAATTCTTAAATAAAAAAAATATAATGTTTATATTCTTGTTTAGAAAAAAGTAAAAACTTATTGTTTAATTTAGAAACTCAAAAAGTTTGTACTCATAAATAAAAAAAATACTAAAATTTGTATTTACCTGTATCTTTTCTCACAATGAAGGGCCTATATAGTTATACAATCAACTTCATCGAGAAAGTATTTTTCTAAGAAAATAGTTAAGAAAGTATAGTATGAAAAATTAGTAAATTTTGTAATAAAATTTTGTTACTACATTTATTTTTAAATAAAAGTCATTTCATGGTTTTTTCTCTAAATTAAAGATATGAGAACAATTTATGTATTTATCTATATTAATCTTAGAAAAATGATAAAATATAAAGAGATATTTTTTGCAATATAATAATTAGTTAAAGTAAATGAATAATGATAGGCTTAAAGTAGGTTAAAAAATATTTTTGATCCATTTGATGATAAATTATACAATAAAGAATAGTTCTCCTTTTTCTTTTTTTTTTTTTTTTTTTTTTTTTCCAAATCTCTTTACATCTAATTTAAAGTTTGAATTTAAAATTTTTAACTTGAAATCACAAACTTTTAATTAGTTGATCCACTCCTTTTAGGGTAATAGAACAAAATATTTGTCACTTTTAAAAAATAAAAAAAAATAATTAATTTGGTACAAACTGAAATAAAAAAATAGTTATTTTGAGATGAAGGGAACGAAATTTTGTTTGATTGTTGATTTTTTATATTTGATAAGAAATTAATATAAAAAGAGTTGGTACTCTTTTCGTTCCAAAATAATAAAAATTTTTTATTTAAAACTTGTTTAACAATAAATTTTTTTTAATATTTTAATCATGATAAATATTTTTTATTTAATTTTATCATTATTTTTTAACTTTAATCATCTATACTATTATAATTTTTTAATTTTTATTTTTAAGGGTAAAATATATAAAAATATAAATTATTTCTAAATGATTAATCTAAAGATAAAATTAAAAAAACACATTATTTTGAGACAAGAAAAATAAAAAAATTTGTTAAGTAAGTTTTATATATATAAAAAGTTTAAAAAAAAAACCTTTTTCTTTTAAAAATAAAAATGATATATAAATAACTCTATAAGAGAAAAAGTTTCCCAACTAAAAATGCCCTAAATTTCCTAAAATAATGAGTGTAAGTGAGACTCTTATTCTGCACTCTTAATCAATACTCACGATGTGATTAACCCATATGATATGCATTTTTCTATTATTGATCCCTGTGACAGATTAAGTTATTTGAATTTAAAATCATTAACCTA